GTGGTGGCGTTGGTATTCAGCCTTTCACTGTCTGCTTGGATGGGGACGTGCCGGCCGTCCGTACTCTGAGCCGTGCATCAATGGATGGTTGTTTCAATGGATTGGATTATACGTGCTATGCTACAACACTGCGGTCAAGTGTGCTTGGCCAATTGGTTCACAGTTTTCCCCGCTCATCGTGCAGAGTGTCTCGGTAGGCAAGCAGGTCTGGGGCTCCAGATGTTGGTGGCTCTTCTTCTGATCGACTGGGGCGAGGCGGTCTGTGGGCGAGGCGAGCTCCTGCCTTCTGGGGAGTTAGCCCAGTGATCGACAGTGTTGCTTCGGCGGCACGGCTAGGGCCTCATAGAGTCAAACTGACTTCAGCTTAGCCATTGGTCATATCAGTGCGGAGTCATTTCAACGGTTCTGTCTCAGGTCTTTTTCAATTGGCACCTTCTTGGTAAATGGGAGAAGGAATGAACTCATTTGTGTTGTCACGCGTCGTGAATTGATTTTCTGCGCAGTTGGCTGCTCTCAATGGGGAGGGATTCATCCGAGGTCTCATCCGTGCTCCTCGGACTTCTTCGTCTTACGTAGTTGGTGCTGGTTCCTGTTCTACGCCCTCTGGTTCGTCTGCTTCAATTTCGAGCTCAGAGGGGAGTAGCCCGATTCAACCCGAGCAATGGCTCAGGTGGTGGTCGGGTGCCGTTCACTTCGCTTCGCGATCGGTCCTATCCTATCCTCTCCTCCTCCTCCTCCTCCTCCTCCTCCTCCTCCTCGTCCTCCTCCTCCTCCCGACTCCTCCTCGTCCTCCTGTTCCTCCTTCCCCTCCCCAACAACAACAACAACAACAACAACAACAGCATCATCGTCATCGTCATCGTCATCGTCGTCGTCGTCATCATCAGCATCAGCATCATCATCATCATCATCATCATCATCATCATCATCATCATCATCATCATCATCATCATCATCAGCATCATCATCATCATCAGCATCATCCTGATCAGCATCATCATCAGCAGCAGCATCATCAGCATCAGCATCATCACCAGCATCAGCATACTCATACTCATGCTCAGCATCATCATCAGCAGCAGCATCAGTTTCAGCATCACCATCTGCATCTGCATAAGCATCCGCATCATCATCAGCAGCATCAGCATCATCATCATCAGCAGCATCATCATCAGCGACAGCATCATCAACATCAGCAGCATCATCACCATCATCAGTATCATCACCATCAAAGCAGCACATCGTCAGCATAACCATCGCCATCATCATCGTCATCATCGCCATCACCATCATCATTACCATCATCGCTATCATCATGATTAGCAGTACCAACATCATCATCACCATCCGCCGCCGCCGCCTCGGCCTCCACCTCCGCCTCCTCCTCCTCCCTCCTCCTCCTCCTCCTCCTCTCCTCCTCCTCCTCCTCCTCCTCCCTCCTCCTCCTCCCTCATCTCTCCTCCTCCTCCACGGCCTCCTCGTCCTCCTCCTCGTCCTCCTCCTCCCCCTCCTCCTCCTCCTCCTCCTCCCCTCCTCCTCCTCCTCCTCCTCCTCCTCCTCCCCCTCCTCCCTCCTCCTCCTCTTCCTCCTTTTCCTCCTCCTCCGCCTCCTCCTCGTCCCCCTTTATATGCCTCCTCGCTCTGTCCTCCACTCTCTCCTCCTGGCGTCGGTGGCGGTGGTGCTGCTGAGACTGGGGCGCCGACGAAGAGGACACGCTCTTGCTGGCACCCACGGGGACAATCGCGCACGAGGTGCTCCTCTGAGCCGCGCTCGCGGCACTTGAGACGCGCCCCATCTGGGCCCAGCGGGTTGCCTCGTCGGCCAAATCCCAGCCGACTGGTCCGACGCTTGCCCTTTCCCTTACCCCTGCCGTCCCCGACGCCGGCGAAGGTTACGCGGAGGTCGTTGCAGGACAAGTCGGCCATGAAGGCGCGGTGGCCTACTTTCCGCGGTGTTTGCCCTTACGTTTGATGACCCCCCGCGCACGGCGCGTAGGCTTGTTGTCGTTAAAGCGGCGCCATCGGGACTTGGCGCGCTCGCAAGTCGTAGGCCTAAAGAAGCGTGCGCCGTGCTGCCCCATGGGAACTTCGCGCAGTCTGGGGTCGTCGGCAGCGCTTTCTTCGCCGAGTGAGCCAATGGCGTCGAAATCGGTGCCAGACCAGAGTCAAAACCCGCTGCAGGATTTGCCGCCCGCGGTGTTGCTGCGCCTGCGTTGGCGGCAGCTGGCGCCGCAGGCGGACTCGGCGCCGCTCCAAGGGCTGAAGGGCCCATGCCATCCCAGCTCGATCCAGCCCCAGCCAAAAGCGCTCTGATCTTGACCGCACGTGGGCGCACCCGCGAGGACCGCTCGGCGTTGGGGCGAGCGCACGGCCGGCGCGAGATTGCCTGGCGAGCGGTCGATCATGTGTCCAAATCTGCGCAGCTGGCCCATCATACGCGCCAGCTGTGGCGCGTCCGTCGGGCGGGCCACGCTGCAGCGATGCAGGGCCATGGCGAGCTGGATGTTCGACGCACTCACCGCGCAAAGCAGAAGGTAGCCCAGGCCCTCGTAGCCGATGAGGAGTTGACCGTCCTGCTGCGCCCTGTTGCGCAGGATGTCGAACCTGGTAGGGAAATTGTCGATGCGCTCCTGCGGCAATTGGTTGAACTTCCATCAGGGCCGGTAGCGCCTGCGCGCGCCCCTCCTCTCCAAGCTGGCTGGTCCGTTCGGCCGAGCTGCGCAGGAGATGCGTCATAGGCGGCACTGGGCCGCCGTTGCCACGACAACCTTGGACGCGGACAGCCAGCGGCCACTCGCCCACGCACTCGCGAGCCACGCTGGCCAAGCGAGACGAGACGCAGGCCGCTCGGCGAAACTAGTCGAAGCCTGAGTTCGCCAATGACCAGATCATGACTTCCCGCGCACAGCGTAGGAAGGGCGCGCGAGCTTACTGCTCGGGCCCCCAAGCGCGGAGGCACCGCACGTTGCCGCTGCCACCACCGCCTGCGCGCACGCAGGGGACGCAGCTGACGGTAGCGATCACGCCCACCCCGATGGTCTTCCATCCAGAGAAGGGCCCTTTCCGGGTGTCGAGGTGGCATGACAGCCCTGGCACCCACCAACGGCAGCGTTCTGGCAGTGATCCTCGGAGCCGTCGTGGGTTTCTGTCCCTGGCGTGCTCCTCCTCATCAGCGCGTTGGGTCTTCTCCTGTCGCGCGATTGACGCGCGGACTGCACTTAGAGCAGCTCACCACATAGTGGCGAGAGAACTCGTCGTGCGTCGCATTGTCACTGTGCTGCGCACTGCCAACTGCGCGATAGTCAAAAGGAGTTCGCATAGGATCCAGGTCTGCCAGGAAGCAGGGAGCGCGTAGGTAACGTCGAGCGTCTTGCCCCTGAGAACCGATAGCGAGTAGTCCCAAGCTTGCGTAACGGTCCCCCGGAAGGATGGCATCACATTTGCCCGACCCTCTCTGCACTTCTGCTCTTGACTGGACGCGCCTCCCCCGGCTTCCACAACAGATTTGCGGAGAACTCGGGGCGCCTTGCCAACGCCGACGGTGTGGGCGTCAGAACGAACGACTGCATGACATAGTCGGCTACACCCACATGCGGATGCAATGAGGGCGGTGCATCTGTTTCCGCTTCCGCCGCGGGTTTCCGGAACACAGTTGCGAATAATTCGGTGCCTTGGGCGGACACCGTGAGCGTGGAAGTCGGATCGCTCGCTGGTCTGACGCTGACGGCGGCAGTCACAGGCGAGTGCTGTAACGACGAAGGGCCCTTGAACATCTCGAACATAAACCGAAAGTATTCGAGGGGCGCTGTCCTTGTTGTTGGTGTATTTGTGCAGGTACCCGTGTTCCCGCTCCGTCGTGTTTCGTGGCGGGTGGGCGGATGGTGCCCCGACAGTCCCGAAAGACCTGCCCCTGGCTTCGACGATCTGGTTGAAGTACGCGTCGGCGAGCGCGCTGCAGAGCGCGCGGCGCCATGTAGAGCGTGTAAAGCGGGTAGACGTTGAACGTCCTGTGGACCGGTCACACGAGCGCGACGCACTGCCTCGCGGGCCATGGCGGCCATGGCGGCGAGTGTGGTGGTGGAGCGAGGTGTTATGCTACAAACTAGACATGTAAAACGGAGGGTGGAAAGCAGATCTGTTCACCGATGTGTACAGCGGTGTGCAGCGGTTTGCATACTGTAAAAAGGGCGCGAGAAGGGACCCCGGCAAACGGCAGCGGGTCCAATGCTACCCTGCTGACGTGCCCAAGGAAGAGGCGACCTACCGCTCGAAGGGAGGGAGTAGAAGGAGGGGAGAAGGAGGAGGGCAGGGGAGGAGGGTGTAGGAGGAGGGAATAGGAGGAGGGGAAGGAGGATGAGGAAGGGAGGAGGAAGAGCCCCCCCCACCTCCGCCCTCCGTCCTCCCGCCCCCCCCTCCATGCGACCCGGACCCGCCGCGCCTCGCCAGCGCCGGCGTCCTCGCCGCTGGGGGCGGACAGCGCGGCGCCGTGGTCGAGGAGGGCGCGTCGCAGGCCGACGCGGCGCCGCCTGGCCAGCCGCCGCCCCGCCCTCGTGCCTCCGCGCCGTCGCGGTCGTAGGATAGGCCCCCTAGAGGGGGTTGGGGTAGTAGATTCAAGTCGGGCATGTCCCCCTACAGGCCGATTATGGACGAAAATGAAAATAGTCCAAAAATGAGTTCAGAAAATTGAGAATAATCAAAAAATCGTCCCCGTACTATGTGTTTGCCTACTCTTGAAAATTCCTCCTGTAGAGGGGCATGCCCGACTCAATAGTAGATGGGGTCGGAGGATCACGCCGCATCGCTGATGCATCGGCTATGCATCGCCGATGTGACGGCGATGCACCGGCCAGAGTCCAGCCAGCAAGAGTCAGGGTTGGAAAAATTCTCGCACACTCTCCCCTTCCCGCCTCCTCCCTCCGCCTTGGCCCCCTGTCTCCAGCCCCCCCCCCGTTCTCTCTCCCCCCTTCCTCCCCAGCACTAGCACCGCTGGGGCGCGTTCCTGACCCAACGGCTTCGCGCAATCAGAGAAAGCGACGGAAAGAATTCGTCTGGGAGCCGAGTTGTGGTGCCGGGCTTGTGAATCCCTCCCTCCGCAAACTCAAATTATCCATCCCTTCCTCCCTCCCGCCCGCCCTCCTTGTCCTCCTGCTCTTGCTCTTGCTCCTGTTCCTCATCATGAGCCCACCCCTGCTGCCGCTACTGATCCTGATCCTTATCCTGCCTTCTGCTCGTTGCCCTGCTCATCATCATCATCATCATCATCATCATCATCATCATCATCATCATCATCATCATCATCATCATCATCATCATCATCATCATCATCATCATCTGCAGCAGCAGCAGCATCAGCATCATCATCAGCATAAGCATCATCAGCAGCAGCAACATCATCAGCATAAGCATCATCAGCAGCAGCATCATCATACGCTTTCGTCTTCTCCTCCTCCTCCTCCTCAGCATCCTCATCATCATCATCATCATCATCATCATCATCATCATCATCATCATCATCATCATCAGACCTCCTCCTCATCATCATCAATATCCCATTCCTGGTTTCCTTAGTGCGGGCGAACCCAGACTACATCTCCTCTCCGCCAGCGCGACATGAACGAGCTCCTCACGATTGCCATTTCAGGAAACCGCTTGCTCCAATTTAGGGGAACCACTGTGCAAAGCGCGACAGGCTGAAGATCAAAGTACAAAACTCCAACCAGCCCCGTGAGCGCAGGTTGTAGTACGAATGTACTATTCCCTATCCCGAGACCTCGTCTTCCCCTGTTCGGAGAGGGGCCCATCCCTGGATGGCCTACAAGATGGATCAATAGAACCGAAGATGGTGAATGATGGCCTCCGACATACACCCGAGAGGATCTTGGAGCCCCCCAAGGACTCCCCCCAAAGGCCAAACTCGTTTCAAAACCTATGGGAAATCAATGACTCATGCGTTATCGCGCGTTCTCCTCCGCTGGGCCGCTGAGGCCTCAGATGGGCCCAAGATGGCCCCAGAGGGCCCCGGGAGGAACCTCGAACGTCGCCAAGACGGCCCAAGAGGGCCGCCCCAAGATGTCGTTTGCCTAACGTACTTCCGATGGGGAGGGGGAGGGACGCTTTGAGCCAGTAGGCCCAAGATCGCTCCGAGAAGGCCCCAAGACCCCCCCCCAAAGGAACCGCCCAGAACAGCCCCACGAGGGCACCACCAAGGCCCCTCGAGAGCCCCGAGAGGACCCTAAGAGGGCCCCAGCATCACCTCAAGACAATCCCATGAACCCTCAGAAAAGCCCTCACAACGAAAGATCCGCATAGGCACCATTCCTCCTCGCCCCCCTCTCCCCTTCTACATCCTCGTCGTCGCTGTCTCTCCTTCTCCTCCTCCTCCTCCTCCTCCTCCTCCTCCTCTTCCTCCTGCAGCCCCTCCTCCTCTCAACCGTTGTATGGCTTCCAAACCCCTAATCGTGGAAACTAATTCTCTGTTCGACACCCTAGTTTACGGACTGGGGTCCCACCAAAAATTCGCCGGCCCAACGGGCCAGGGCGTGCTAAGATCTCCGGTAACTGCTTAACAGTATTAACAGTATTTCTAGTTCGCGCGCGCGGGGCGGCCCCTGGGGGTCCCCCGGCGAAAAGTACCCCGACCAACGCCCGGTCGCCGCCCGACCGCCGCCCGACCGCCGCCCGACCGCCGCCCGACCAAGTCTACTCAGAGATGGTTTTCCTTCTGGGTGCGGCCTCTCAGGCTCCCCAGAGCGCGCTCAGAGTGCCCCAAGAGGCCCCCAAGACTGCCCAAGAGGCCCCCGAGACGCCCAAAGAGCGCTCGAAGACGCCGAAGATGACCCCAAGACGGCCCAAAAGGCCCCCAAGACAGCCCAAGAGGCCTCCAAGACGCCCCAAGAGCCTTCCAAGAGGCCTCCGAAGAGAGCCCCAAGAGGCCAAAATCGTTGATTTTCATTGGTTTTTTCGATGTTTTTTGTGTTCTGGCTTTTTCGGCTTCCGGACGCTCCAAGACGGCCCAAGAGGCCCCCAAGACCGCTCCAAGACGGCCCACGAAGCTCCCAAGACGGCGCCGAAACGACCCAAGAGAGCCCTCAAGACGGCCCAAGTGCCGCCCAAGACGGACCAAGAGGCCCCAAGACGGGCCCAAGAGGGACTCAGGAGGGATACCGAGAACTCAAAAATGGAGCCCTCCGTCCCAGAAGGCGCCCAGGAGGTCCCAAAGAGGCCCCAAGAGGCCTCCAAGAGGCCCCAAGATGTCGCCAAGAGGCCCCAGGAGACTCCCAGGAGGCCCAAAAGAAGCCCCAGAAGGCTTCAAACATGTCTCCCAGGCGCCCCCGAACGGCCTCTCAACAGACCCCAAGAGGCCCCCCAAAGAAGCATCTTGACGACGACTCTATTTCGCCCCATCGAGAGACGACCCCCAGGGAACTGCTTCACCATCAAAACTCCCCACGCAACGCGTCCGAACGACACCCGCCCCCAAGAGCGCAACATGGGCAACGAACACACAGACAAAAACCAGCGATGCCATATCACGGGCCGGCGGAATGAGCGAAGCGATTCAATAAAAATTATGATTTCTCCGAGGCACCCGCCGCACAACGACGACGACGACGACGACGACGACGACCAGAACGACGATGACGACGACGACGACGACGACGACGACGACGACGACGACGACGGCGACGGCGACGACGACAACGACGACCACGATACGACTACGGCTACGACTATGACTGCGAGGACGACGGCGATGAATGTGCCGATCTAGATACGAGTCCTCTTACAAACGTGCTCCAAATGTAGCCCAGAGATGATTATTCGCTGGGAGAACGAAAACCGAGGGAGTATTCAGCGCGGCAAACACTAGTGGGAAAATGATCCCCGCCGCGACGACGACGGCGATGACGACGACGATAAGAACGACGACGACGACGACGACGACGAGGGAGGGAGGGAGGGAGGGAGGGAGGGAGGGAGGGAGGAGGAGGAGGAGGAGGAGGAGGAGAGAGGAGGAGGGAGGAGGAGAGGAGGGGGGCGAGTTTGTTCCCCACCGAGAGAAACAGAGGGGGGGGACCCAAAACTGAAGACCTCCTGAGGTACCCATTGTCCTCCTCTCCTTCCTCCTCCTCCTCCTCCTCCTCCTCCTCCTCCTCCTCCTCCTCCTCATCCTCCTCCTCCTCCTCCTCCGCCTCCGCCTCCGCCTCCGCCTCCGCCTACGCCTACGCCTACTCCTTCTCCTCCTCAGACTCATCCTCATCCTCCTCCTAATCCTCCTCATCCTCCTCATTATCCACGTCCCTCCTCTCATCCCCATCGTCCTGGTGAAATACATCATCCTGCTTCTGCATCACGTTATCCACCTCATCGTCTTCAATGTTTCCAGCCCCCTCATCCGACCAAGTGCCGTGGGCATGGTTCTGGATTGGGCTGGTGTGGATGCCGGGAACACCGAAGGGCGAGAGGCGAGGATGGCGTGGCCACCAGCGAGAACGATGGAGAGTCCGAACGTCGACGGGTGTTCCAAATTAAGCGCTCACGCACCATGGCGATCCGCCATCCCTCACGCTACGCTGCGAGGATGATCTCCCGCGTTGACCATACCCCCCGCCGTGGGCTAAAGCGTGAGAGGCCAGCCCGTGCCCAAGGTCTACACACCCAGGGGGTGCGCGGGGGAGGTGAGTCGAGGACGCGGGAGGGAGCGAGGGAGGGCCGGACGCGATGAGAGGACGCGACGTGACGTGAGGAGCGACGCCTGGGGAGAAGAGAGGGAGGTGAGCGCAGGGAGGGGGGAGCAGAGGAGCAGGGGAGCGAGGAGGGCGGAGGGCGGAGGGAGGGGGGAGGGCAGAGGAGGGAGGAGTAGCGAAACGCCTCCCCCCCCCAAATTACACTCAGCTACCCCTCTGTGATACTCAAGCTCTGCGGCTGAATGCTGCCACGTAGTGACGCAAGAGGCAAGCATTGAAGGTGATGTGAAGCTGAAAACGACTGAAGGAACATCTGAATGCATCCGAAGGGGAAAACGGTTGCAAGTGAGGGGAAAGTGAATGCAGCAGACAGGAAACTGTGTGCAATTGAACGCATATGAAAGCAACTGCACGCAACTGGGAGTAATGAGTGCGACTGGTGGGGAACTGGGTGCAACTAGGCGGCAGCTGTATTCGGAATTGAATCAAACTCAGATCCGAGTGTAGCTGAAGGCATCTGCGCGCAACCAGTGGTTGAGAGCCCGCGCGTGCCCTATGGTGCTATCCGGGTGATGCAATCGATGTGGTGCACGCTATCTGGAGCGACCTGCGCGAACCACCACATGCGGTGAACTCTACGTGGTGCAACACACGTGGCGCAACTGCTGCGGACCAACCGATGTGACACAATCTGTGCGGTGCCGATCTATGTGGTGCAACAAAACGTGTGCCATGTACGTTGCGAACTACTCCGTGTGCAATTTAGATGGTGCAATCTGCGTGGTGCAACCAACGTTGTGGAATCCACGTGGCGCAATTCATGTTTTACACATGGGTTGACACACTCCACGCCCTTGCAAACGCCCCACCCACCCACCCGGAACTGGTGGGTTTGCAATACCCATGAGGCGGCGATTGCGACGAAAACTTGGCGTTGGCTGGTGCATCTCTGCGGCCGCCTTAGCCCGCGCATGCTCTCGCGCACAGCGGCCAGCTAGTTTGGCGCGACCGGCGCGGCCGCGGTGGCGCTGACCGCTGGGCACTTCCCACCGGGCACTTCAGTGCGAGTCGGTAACTTGGTCGGGCGCGGTATTATGGCGGTGCCGACAACGGTGGACACGATATATGAGTAGCGATGATGGTGACGACGGTGGCGACGACGACGGCAAAGCCAATGACGGCGCCGACGTTGATCACGCCCAACGATAACGATGACAATGTCCTCACGTCGGCGACGAAGGTTTTTGAAGGAGTTCGACAAGCGCGCGCGGCCAACGCGCACGAGTGGCCCGCGTGGTATTATTTGACACGGATCGTGCCCCCCCCCCCCACCCCAGCACGCGCGCAAGGGCGTTCGAATGAGTTCAACATGCGGCGCAAGCGGTCCGTGTGGCAGAATGTGATGAAAATGCTGGAAGGTTTAATTAAGAATTCGCACGACCGCGAGCGCAGGACTTCTTGTTGAAAACTGAGGTTGCAACACAGTGTGTTTTGATATATGTTCGGGACACTCGTTTTTGAAATCCTTACGAAACCTCCTGAGGTGCTTGAAAGATTCTGGCGTGCGCGCGTACGACGCGCGCGTGTGCACTTCGCCCCATTTGCTGCAAAGGATTCTTGCGACAGCACGCGCGCAAGGGTGCTCGAACGATTCCGACGTGCACGCGCGAGAAGTCCGTTGGGTAGCAAGTTACGTATATGTTGACAAACATATGGCTTTCTTACGAATTCGCAAGAGCGCGGGCGCAGGCTTTTGTTAAAGCCCTTGTTACAAAACCTTGTGCTTGAATATGTATTCGTGACTCTCGATTTTGCAATCCTTACGAAACGCAAGGTTTTTGACAAATTCCGGCATGCGCGCGCGACGAAGCGCGCGTGTGCACTTCGTGCCATTGTTTGCAAGAGATCCTTGAAACTGATTGTTTCTGATAAACGAGCACGCGCGCATAACATTTTTGCAGAGGATGATGGGGGGCGATACCGGCCTGCCTGGGATGGTACGAACTCACACTTGGGATGGACGATGGGGCAGAATCATTTGCGAATTGTTATTGCGAAAAGGTGGCCGGTTAACGCCGGGGGGGGCAGGGGGGCAGATCCTAATACACTTCTACAAACGAGAATCTACGTTGTGAAGTCTACGTGGTGCAACCTACGTGGTGCGCAATCTATGTGGTGAAACCGACGTGGTGCTAACTGGGTGGTGCAACATGTGTGGGCAATAGGGGAATTGCAATGCGTATACATATATATATATATATATATACACAGCATATGGTGTGCGAATCTCTGTGGTGAGATCTATCTAGACTGTGCAAACGATGCGGTGCAATAGATGTTGTGTACTATGCGGTGTGCACTCGTATGTGGTGCAAAACATGCAGTATGATCTATGTGGGGCAATACATGTCGTGCCATCTATGCGATGCGACCTATGTTGTGCAATATATGCTCTGCAATCTATGCGGTGCAGTCAACGCTGTGCAATATATGAGGCGAGGAGGCAGCGACGTGGCGGCGGCGGCAACATAGCCGCCAGACCGACCACCAGGCCCAAACGACGTGCGGAGACGAAGAGGCGACGGCAGCAACATCGCTGGCAGACCGACCGTGAGGCCCAGACGACAGGCGGCGACGTGGCGGCGACGGCAGCAACATAGCCGCCAGACCGACCGTCAGGCCCAGTTCATCAGAACAGAAGTGGGATACCCTCAGTGCAAGAACTGGTTGGGAAGTACATTCCAACAAAACTTATTCGGCGAGACCTGGCTGGCAACCGACCTAGCCGACTACGCTGCGAACTTATTGTGCCTCGACTTCCGTGAACACTCACAGGGGAATCGTGTGATTGGGTTCTCGATACCCTATCCTCGATCCTCGATCGAGTCGATCCTCGCTTCCCGATCTCCGATCGAGCGGATCCTCGATCCTCGATCCCCGATCCGCCATCGTCCCCGATCCTCGGGCGGGCTTCAGGAATCGTGAACACTTAGGGGCTCGCACTTCGCATGCACGATAAGTGGGCGGGTCCACCGACGCATCGCTCGGTGCCCGCCCGTGGACGCCTCGTGAGCGCTCGTGGGCACTCCGCTCCGTGCCTCGGTGAGTCCGCCACAAAGGCGCATGGTGGGCACTCGTGGGCGCCCCGTGCCCTTGGCGAGTCCGCCGAGATGTCGTTTGGTGCCCCGCCCGTGCGCGCCTCGTGGGCGTTTGTAGGCGTTCGCGGGCGTTCGTTGGCAGCCCCGTGCCCTCGTGGGTCCGCTGGGGGTTCGCCTGGCACCCGCCCGTGGGCGCATCGTGGGCGCTCGTGGGCAGCCCCGTGCCCTGGGTGGCTCCGCGGAGGTGTCGCCTGATGCCCGCCCGTGGTCGCATCGTGACCGCTGATGGACATCCCGTGCCCCGGGTGTTGGGGGAGCATGGCGTGCGCAACATGGCTCGCACCAAAAAGCTTACACCGCGTAGCATGCACAACATAGCTCCAATCGTACAGGTCGCACCGCATAGCTTAAACGGCCTAGTTCACACCTAAATGACGGCACGTAGCTCGCAGCATCTAGCTTGCACCATGGCGGGCACAACATACTTTGTTCCGCATGGCTCCCACATCCACAATACCATAATTCAAGATGCGGAGTCCACGTTGGCCAACAGAAGGGTGGGCATGAATTCCTGCATTCTCAGACCGACGACCTGCAGGCCAAATACTAAGTTGCGAACTATTCGCAATTCAACACTTTGGAAACAATCCGAATGCATATTTTGATAGTTTGGGGTCGAATGGGTTGTTCAATTGTTTGGGATCGCTTCTCTCTGACTACTCCTTCCCGCAGTCCTTCCGCACGGTTCACCTTACCAGGAAGTCCAGACACGCATGGCAGCGAAGCAACGGCTGCAAACCTCAGACAGGCACCACCAACGCCGCAAACACGTCGCACACCACGTAAAACAACACAGCGCAAAGATACACAGGCTATGAAGCCTCTCTCCAGCTACAACAGCTGCTAATACGAGTAGTAGCATGAGTAGTCGCCGTAGTGGTGGTAGTAATAGTAGTAGTCGTAGTGGCAGCAGTAGTAGTAGTAGTAGTAGTAGTAGTAGTAGTAGCAGTAGTAGTAGTAGTAGTAGTAGCAGCAGTAGTAGTATAGTAGTACTAGTATTAGTATTAGTATTAGTAGTAGTAGGAGTAGTAGTAGTAGTAGTGATAGTAGTAGTACTGGTGGTAGTAGTAGTAGTAGTAGTAGTAGTAGTAGTGAAACAATAAGCATTCGCAGTAGGAGTAGTAGTAGTAGTAGTAGCAGTAGTAGTAGTAGTAGTAGTAGTAGTAGTAGTAGTAGTAGTAGTAGTAGTAGTGGTAGTCGTAATAGTAGTAGCAGCAGTAGTAGTAGTAGTAATAGTAGTAGTAGTACCAGTACCAATGTGAGTAGTAGTGGTAGTAGTAGTAGTAGTAGTAGTAGTAGCGGTAGTAGAAATAGTAGTAGTATGAGGAGTAGTAGTGGCAGTAATAAAAATAAAAAATGGCCGAAGCAGGTAGTAGCAACAGCAATAGAAGTAGTAGCAGCAGCAGTAGTAGTAGTCGTAGTACTGATCCAGCTATTAATAATAGCAGCTGTAATTAGTGTAGGAGTAGCGTTTGTAGAAATAGCCGTAATAATAGTCACTTGGTAGCACTAGTGCCACTCTGTAGTAAGGGTAGGGGTCGGAGTAGTAATAATAGTAGTTCTACTAGTCGCAGTAGTAGTAATAGTAATAGTAGTGCGCGTAGTAGTACTAGTAGTCGTAAAGGTTGCACTACGGGTGGTGGTGGCCGCTGTAGTACTAGTAATAGAAGAAGTAGTAGTAATAGAGGTAGTCGTAGTCGTAGTAATCGTAGTAATCGTAGTAGTCGTAGTAGTACTAGTAGTAATAGTAGTAGTGGCAATCGTAGCCGTAGAAGTAGCAATAGTAGTCGTAGTAGTAGTCTTAGTACTAATGGCAAAAGGAGTAGCAGCAATGTCAGTAACAGTAGCAATACTAGCAGCAGTAGTAGTAGCCGTAATCGTAGTAGTGGTCGTAGTCGTCTTAGTAGTAGTAGAAGTAGTAGAAGTAGTAGTAGTAGTAGTAGTAGTAGCAGTAGTGGTCGTAGTAGTAGCAGTAGTAGTAGCAGGAGTAGTAGAAGTGATAGTCGTAGCGAGATGCATAGAAATAGTAGTCGTCGTACTAGTAAAGTAGTAGCAGTAATAGTAGTTGTTGTAGTAGTAGGAGTGGTAGTAGTAGCAGTAGTAGTAGTAGTAATAGTAGTAGTAGTAGTGGCAGTAGTAGTAGTTGTTGTAGTAGTAGAAGTAGTAGTAGTAGTAGTAGAAGTAGTAGTAGAAGTAGTAGTAGCAGTTGTAGTTGTAGAAGTAGTTGTAGAAGTAGTAGTAGTAGTAGTAGTAGTAGAAGTAGTAGTAGTAGTAGTAGTAGTAGTAGTTGTAGTTGTAGAAGTAGTTGTAGTAGTAGTAGTAGTAGTAGTAGTGGCAGTAGTAGTCGTATCAGTACGTAGCCAAACGACGACGACGACGTCTGCCCCCTCTGCTTCACGCCCTCCCGTGTCCTTGCCTCCCCCCCCCCCTGTCTCGCATGTCACTCCACGTGCGCGCCCGTGCCCCTCGTCATCAACACTCATCATCCCCCTGCCCCTCAGGGACAGATGCGTTTCCCCTGGAGCCCGAACCTTCGACCAACCCTGCTGGCGGAGACCCTCGGGCCCCTCCCGTGCTGCCTGGCTCTCCTCGTCGCGAAATCGCTCTCCATCTGGGCGAGGGTCTGCAGCGCCTTCCAAAGCGGTGGCGGAAGGGTGTGGGTGGAGATGGGGAAGGGACACGAGGAGGTGGAGGAGGAGGAAGAGGAGGAGGAGAGCAAGGATAATGTCGGCATCGAATGCGTGGCTGTACGTGGCATTATTGGGAGGCGTCCCCTGGAATGCATTGGGACCAAGGGCCAGACCAGAAGGCTCCAACCTCTACTAGCTAGGCCAAGGAACTGGCTCGAGGTTCTGCATTGAAGCACTTCATGCAAATCTGCGTGCCCACACTGACGCCCACACTCTGCTTGCTGCAATGAGGGTGGCGGCCCTTACACAGAGCCGGCCAGCCATAGCGGGCAGTAGGAGAAAGAGAGGCGACACAACGAAACTCCAGCCCCCAGATAGAGGCGCCCGAGCTATGACAGTGACACCTGCAGCAGACGAGCAGAACGGATCCATCCGAGCAGTCAAAAGCAACAGTGCGGTGGCCCAGTGCGTCCTGTTCTGAGGCGTGCAATCGCGGTGACTCCGAGAATTGACCACCACTTGGCGCACCTCTAGGTGACGACCTACCAAAACCACCCCAACCCAACCCTAAGACCCGAATCTCGCCCGAACTTCGGGTTGGGGGGGGCACGGGTTCCATGTGTTTTGGTCAATGTTCCCCGACCCATCCCCCACTGGAAGTGGACGGCAAATTGAGGCCTTCGGCTTGGGCTGGGGTGGCTTGGAGGGTGGTGACTATCGGGGATGGACAGACCCCCTTTAGTAAAACGTGGTTTAGTGAAAACGACCTGAGGCTGTTGGGGGTTCTTCTGTCCACCCCCGAGACTCGGCGCCTGACCGCCACTCCCAGCGGTGACCGGCGTGGTCCCCGCCGCTGGGCTCGCTGGCCTCGGGCGAGGCCCACGGGCACCCAGGCAGGGCCAGCCCAGGCCCAAGAGGCGGCACGCTCTCCGAAGGTGCACGCGCAGGCTCGGCGATCAAGACGTAGCGGTCCAGCGGAGGAGCCTCCGCCTCATAGAGGCTGCAGGGTGCGCCGCTGCTCCCAGCTTGGCAGCCCTGTGAGCCTCGTCACTGTCAGTGCGCCGCGAAGCGTGCCCTGGCCCTGATGCCCGCCTCGCACAGGTCCGTCTAGGCTGGCTTTGACCTTCTCGACCGAGCGAACGAGCTCCGGACAGAGACGAAACGTTACTAACCGAGCTCAACTGCGATACTACTGGCACAGTGCTTGACTACATTTTCGCAGTCGTGCAGAATGTGGTAGTGCCTTCGGCCTGCACACAGCAGGACCTAGGTCAGAAGAACATCCCTCAAGAACATGAGACCCTCCGTCGGCCAAAACAAACAGAACATGCAAGGGTACCATCCCCCAGATGCAGAATAACATCCAACAAACACGAAGAACACTAGGGTACCCTTCCCAAACCGACCTCGATCTTATGCCTCGGTCCGACTGTACCCCTCTAGCAATCCCAGCGAACTCGGCACCTTGAGACGTCTGAATGAACGGCGCATGCACAGGTCCGAAAAGGCGCCCAGCTCTGCTTGACAGGTCGCCCAGCGCGATTCCGTAGCCCGTTCTCCACAGTTCGGCGATCTCGTGCCTGCGACAGCTGCCACCCACAAAATTGTCATCTGCGAACTTGCCAACGTCCTGGGCCCCAGGCTCATCCCCACACATCTGCGCCTGGAGAACTCCACCCTCCAAAGCGGGACGGGGGAAAGTCCAGTCTAAAAGCGCAAGCCAGTGCTGGGAGGACCCCTGTGGGCCAATACCACAGGTCACTCTTGCGAAGGGCCACCCTTGCGCGTAGCCGCCTCGTTCGCAGCGCCCGCGATCTCCCTTTCCCCGACTCCGCTGGATCGGGCAGGGCTGGCAGGCGTGCGCCCCCCAGACCTGCGGCCTGGTCGAGTTTCTCGCCTCGGGCCTCGTCCCTCGTGGTCTTCGTCTCGTCTCCTCTCCTTCCTCGTCTGCGGGTGCCCTCCGACGGTTCCGGGCGAAGCGCAGCGCGTCCCCTCCTCCATCCTCCCTCCCTGCCCCCATCGCTTCATGCCAGTGCCACCCTCCCCACCACCAGCCGGCCTCGCTCCCCCTCTCACCCCGTCTGTCCTACCCCCCGAAGGGCCTGGAAGGAAGAGGGAGGGAGGGACGAGGAGGTGGGCGGGTGAGGAGGAGGAGGAGGAGGAGGAAGAGGCGAAGGAGGGGGAGAAGAAGGAGGAGGGGAAGAAAAAGGAGGAGGAGTTGCCTCGGAGTTGCCTGCCATCCACATGCGGTGGGAAGGGCGGGTGAGGAGGAGGAGGAGGAGGAGGAAGAAGAGGAGGAGGGGAAGAAGAAGGAGGTGGGCGGGCGAGCAGGGTCACGGGCGGGTGGAGACGACGAGGAGAGGGTGGCCACCCGCAGGAGGGACCCCGTGGCCTCCCTGCGCGCGGCGCTCGGGGCCGCAGGTGGGGCCGAGGCCGAGCGCGCGGGCCGGTGCGCGAGGGGATCGCTGCGAGCCCACACACACACACACATGAACACACACACACACACACACGCACGCACACACACACACACACAGAGACACACACACACACACATGAACACACACACACACACACGCACGCACACACACACACACAGAGACACACACACACACACATGCACACACACACACACAGACACACACACACACACACACGCACACGCACACGCACACGCACACGCACACACACACACACACACACACACATGCACACACATGCACACGGTCTGGCGAGCCTGGAACATGTTCCTGTCCCTATGATATGTTTCCCCCCCGCCCTACGCTGAGGGTCCGCTGTCCTGAGCCAGCCGGCGTCAGTAGCCGAAGACCGTCCGGAAGCACGAAGTATGGGGGGACACTTTCGTTAACACACGTTCGTGCCAACTGCATGCGACTGCTACCTACACGCGCGTGCTGACTAAACTGAGTCCCACACGGGCTTACAGCAGCAGCACCAGGGATACAGGGCTGTGAGATCAAGAATTTGCCCCTGCCCCTACGATTAGCATCGCCTCATCTCGATGCCGATGCTTGAGGACCTCCTCGGCTTCCGAGGGCGCACCCCTGAGGCTGGCATCGCCCTTGAGCTGGCGAACTCTCGAGGATATATGGGGCAAGTTCGAGGCTGGCGAAGGCCACTCCATCGAAGGGTCTCTCGGACGCGCAGCCGAGGGAGGCAGGCCGAGGCAGCGGGGAGGAGGGACCGGGCGAGGAGCCCGCCCCTCGCGGATCGGGAGCGGCCAAGAGGGGGGTGTCCAAGAGGGGGGGGTGCAAATCATGACCGGCGGCACGTGCGCGGCCCAGCGGGGGGGCCAGGGACGTCATGAAGCAAGAAGAGGCGCCATGAAATCTGCGGAGATATCATGGCCAACGCCATGATATCCACCCCCCCTAGTCATCACCCCCCTCTTTTCCGCCCCCGAGCGGAGCCGGGGCGGGGCGGGGGGCGCCTGGCGGAGCCGGGAGGCCTTGGCGTCGAGGAGGCCACCGAGGCTCAGGGCCAGCTCGTGGAGCTCCTCGCGGGCGGGGGGGCGAGGCCAACACGACAGGTCGCCGTCGTCGAGGTCGCCATCGTCGTCCTCGTCGAGGTCATGGTCGTCGTCGTCGTGGTCGTCGTCGTCGTCGTCGAGGCTGAAGTCGAGGTCGTCGTCGTCGTCGACGTCGTCGTCGAGGTCGTCGACGTGGTCGCGCTACGAAAACGAAGAGAGGAGGAGGAGGTGGAGGAGGGAGAGGAGAGAGAGGAGGAGAAGGGGAAGGAGGAGGAGGAGGAGGGAGAGGAGGAGGAGGGAGGAGAGAGGAGGAGGAGGAGGAGGAGGAGGAGGAGGAGCAGGGGGATAAGGAGAAGGAGGCGTCGTCGTCGAGGTCGTCGTCGTCGTCGTCGTCGTCGTCGTCGTCGTCGTCGTCGTCGTCGTCGTCGTCGTACTCGTCGACGTCGTCGTCGACGTGGTCGTCGCCGACGACGACGACGACGACGACGAGAAGGGGGAGCAGGGGAAGGAGGAGGACGAGGAGAGTCACAGGTCAGACGGTGCGCTGAACTTGTGCGGGTGGCGTCAAGTCGGGCCTGTCCCCCTACAGGGGGATTTTCGACGGAAAAAAAAAAAAAAAAAAAAAGTATGAGGACTATGTTTTGAGTACGTTATGGCCTTTTTGGAATATTTTTGGGGTATGCCTCATTGTTCGTCGAAAACCCCCCTGCAGGGGGACACGCCCGACAGAAGGGTAGCGAACTGACCCTGCCATTGGTCCTTTTTTCCTCCTGCTGCCGCTCGTCCTCCTCCGCCGCCTCGCACCTGCCTCAGCCTGCTCGCCCTCGCCGCCCTGCCTCCCCCAGAGGAGAGCAGGCGCAATTCACCGCCAGCGCAAGGTCAGGATAGGGGGCCACATGCGAACCCTACCCCTAGGGTTCACTTCGCTCGGGAGCTCCCGAACGACGTGAACCCCACCCTCCCCCTCGGAAACCGTGGGGGGTGGGGGTAGGGTTCGTATGTGGCCCCCCTAGTTCACCGCCAGCGCAAGGTCAGGAAGCAGCGGTGCGAACGGGAGCCCGCGAAGCCCTCTGAAGAACCAGAGACGCCCGCTGCACTCGTCAGCGTCGCAACCTCAACACTAAACCCTAAACCCTAAACCCTAAACCCTAAACCCTAAACCCTAAACCCTACACCCGAAAAGCAGCCGACGCTCTCGCACTGCAGGCGGCCGGCTGCTCTTCGCCCTCCCCGTCAGCCTCGTCACCGTTATCACCACCAGCAGCCCCCATGATCGTCAACAGCGCCATCGTTGTCCGCAGCATCGCCGTCACCATTCTGCAAATACTCATCCGCCTCAGCATCATCAGCATCTGCATCAACGTCAACGTCTTCATCAAAACATGGTGTTGCCGAAGACCCTCCGTACTCCATTATTGTGAGGGGGTCTCGAGCAAAACGAATACTTGCGAGTCAGAAATGCAACAGCCAGTGGTACCGTCATTATTCTGCCTGTCCGACAGACTTTTGTTGTGAGGATGTTTCAAGCGGAACGCACAATGTTGAACTACACCATTGGAAAACCGATGGTTGCAATGATTTCGATTATTGGGGAATCGTGGGGGTCCTCCAAGAGAGCCCCAAAAAGAAGTAGTGAAACAGCTGTTCCGACATTTCATTGCTAGAGGTTGCCTTAGGGAAGAGCTCCATCTCTGACTATGAAGATATCACAAGCGATTTCAGCACCCCCATGGTTTTAGGATGTCTCAGGCAAACACTGCATGTGCTCGATAAACGACGTTGCAAGATAACAGATCTTCCAACATGTCCATTGTGTGAGGATGTCTCAGACCAAACACCCAGGGTGGCGGGATGGGCCGAAGACCACTAGACAGCATGCAAATGGTCCGCGCTTGTCGCAGACGTTGCAAGACGGGAGTTTGGCCCCACCAGGCCCCTGGGGCTTGCCCAGAGGTTCCCAGGGTTGACTGGAATTCCGCAGCGGGTCCAAGGACTCCTCGAAGTCCAGTCCAGAGGGGGTCCCCCAGGATTCTCGCTTGCATTGCATGCAGTGCCTTGCATCAGTGTGCATTGCTTTGCATTGCTTTGAGCTGCGCTGCACTGAAACGGTGTTGACTGTTCTGCATTGGGTTGCTGTGCTCTGAACTTAGTTATTGCTGCGTTGTACTGCCTGGCTTTGCGTCGTCCTTCCTTGCCTTCCGCTGCTTTAGATTTCTTTGCAGTGCGTTTCGTCCCCGAACGGTACTTGCACTCAGGGGCCACGGCCCGCTGCCGCCCTGCTGCCGCTCGCAGCCGTCTGCTGCCGCGCGTGGGGCTGCGCCGAGGATGCTCGCCACGCTCCCGCCCGCTGCCGCCCGCTGCCGCCTCGGGTGCGTGCGTCGACGCGTCGCCCCGTCTGCGGGCGCGCTGCCGCCCGCTTTGCCGCCCGCTGCCGCGCGGGCGCGTGCGCCGAAGGTTCGCCGCGTTCTCGCCCGCTGCCGCCTTGTGCCGCTCGCTGCCGGTGCGTGGCCGCTGATTGCCGCCGGTTGCCGCCCGCTGCTTCCTCGTTGCCGGCCACCGTGCTTGGGTGTCCCGAGGACTCGCCACGTTGCCGCCTCGTTGCCGCCTTGTTGCCGCCTCGGGCGCTCCCGAATCCAGTGGGGAGACGCGAAGCGTCAACAGCACGAAAAGCTGAGCCCCATTTAGTGGGAGCCAGCTTTCTGTCAGCATTCCTGTGAACACGAAGCGTTGCCACATAGCTTCCACCGAGGGTAGGTGCGAAATCCTCGTCGACCGTGGTTCATTATCAAGGAATGTTGAACCTAGGTTCACTATCTTCAGATGATGTCCTGTGGTTTGTGTCATGTGGATGGATCAAGCCGGGGCCCCCCCCCCGGCTGAATCACTATCTTTCCGGAATAATCAACCGAAGATTATTATTCCCACATTATGGACCACGGTTTATTTCAATCCGGTCATTACTCTCCAACACCCCCCCCCCGGCAGAATCATTATCATTCCAGAATAATTAACCCGGGGTCAATATTCCGGAAACATTATGAACCCAGGTTTATTATCTCCTGCAGATAATGAACCTGGGTCAATATTCCAACATGAAAAACCTGGTACGGCACCCGGGCGTTGGGGGGAAAATAAACACATGATATCATTCCGGAATTACAAAAACCGGGTTCATTATTCCCGGGACATTATGAACCCTGGTCATTATTCCCAGAACATTATTAAACCAGGTTCACATCTTTTTCGGATCGGTAGGCCCAGAACATTATAAACCAAGGTTCATAATGTTCCTGGGGGAACATTATGAACGCCAATCAATATTTCCGGAACATTATAACCCAGGTTCATAATGTTCCGGGGGAGACATTATGAACCCTGGTCAATAATCCCGGAACATTATAAACCCAGGTTAATATCTATTTTGGATCCATCCTGCTTCCACCACGTATTTTCCACCACATAGCCTGCACCACGCAGATTCCAAACATAGCTTCCACAACATAGCGTCCACCACATCACCTCTACCACTTAGCTTCCACCACACGGGTTCCACCGCCAGTGCGCAAACTCACCGTTCGGGGTCCATGCTGGCAAACAAATTGCATCGCTTCGGCTTGCTGTCAATTGCATTCTTTTCGAACTGCAATATGATCTAACGCTTGCGTTGCGCTGTTGTACCACTCTGTACTGAATTGGTTGCTTTCCGTTGCTCCGCCTGCTTTGAACATACTCGGTTCGCACGGCTGTGCGATGCACTGTTTTCAAAATCCGTGCTATGCATTGCATTGCACTGCCTTGGAAGAGAGGCGATCCGAAGTGGGTCCATGGTAGATCCGTTTTCTGAGTGGACAGAGGCGTAGACAGATGTGAATTTGAAAATAAACCCAGACGCAGCAGCTCGCGCAGCCTAAAACTTCCTGCAACGAAGCCACTACGCAGCCACTAGGTTCAAAAAGCATAGCACCAACGCTATCACCCCCAAGATAGTGATCAGCAGAGGTCCCCACATCTTCCGTACTGCCATGCCCTGCCCGAGTCGGATCGAGAACGCCCCGGGAAGGATCAACGCAAAGAACTGGGTGGCGACCGACCCGATCGCCCGGTACACTATGGATATGTCGTCGCACGCCATCGACACAACGCACATGCCACAGAGGACTCCGCAGGTGATCCGATGCCTCAGCTGCGTCGGGATGTCCTCTGGGGAAACCAAAAAGGTACCGATACTGCTACCCCCCGGACCTCTGCTGGGGTGCGTTCTGACTAGGATCTCGAGGCGAATCCAGCGGTGGCGGCGAGGGCCTCCCAGGAGGCCCCAAAAAGGGGGGAAAACGGGCGAAGGGTGGAGGTATGGGCACCTTTTCTTCCTCTGATCCTCGCCCGCCGGCGGCAGCGGCACGCCCACGAGCCGCATGACCTCCACGACGGCGAAGCGGAAGGACACCATGACGAAGGCCGCCGAGCACAGCAGCATCACCGCCGAGCTCAGCTGGAGCAGCACGACGCAGCCAGGCAGCAGGCCCTCGGGGGAGTCGTGGATGCTCCGGATGATGTTGCCTTGCGTGTGCTCGCCGAACCTTTTGCTGTCTGTTCGATTTGCTTTTCAGACACAGAGGGCGAGGAAAGGCAACAAGGTTCAGCTCGTATGAAGAGAACTGCCAGCCCCCAAACTGATGGGAAGGGGTCTCCACCATGCACGATCTGTCCAGATAGGAGGGGGAAGAGGCGATAAAGAAGAAAAAGGACGAAGGAAACGAGAGATGAAAAACTGCGTCCGCACATCCAGCGATCAAGCACAACCCTCGCCGAAACTTGGAGAAATGATAAAAAGGTACCGATACTGATGCTCTCTGGAACTCTCCGGGGATGAGTTCTGACCAAAATTTCGAGACGGATCCAGCGGTGGCGAAGAGGGACTCCAAGGAAACCCAAAAGAGCGAAAACGAGTGGACGGTAGCGGTACCAGTACCTGTTCCCCCTCTCTGGTGTCCAGTGATCTGGCCCAAGCCTCGCCGAACCTTTTGTATGAGCTGACGCCGATGACGTAGCCGATGACGATGGAGACGACGTAGCCGTTCAGGGTCACGCGGGCGCGTGCCTCTCGCAGGTCGGCAGCGCTGTCCTCGTCCATGTGGTCGGGCTGGCGCCCCCTGGCTTCCAGCCTGGAGAGGATGATCATCCCGCTGGGCTGCACGGCGAACATGTACCTCGGGGGACAAGGGGGCAGACTCGGCCAGGCGAAGCTCGGCCGAGCCCAGCCTGGCCGAGTTTAGCTGCTGCCACCCAGTGGAGACGGCGGCGGCTCTCCCAGGCGGCCCAAATCCGCTCAAAGTCGGTCCCCAGACCCTTCCCGCGATCCATCCTGACCTGTTCCAGGAGACGGATCCAGCCGTGGCGACGAGAGTCTTCCAGGAACCACAAAGAGAACAAAAAGCGTCATAAGGAGCCGCCGTTGTCTCGACTGGGCCTCTTCCGAGTACCCGAAGATCGGCCACGCCACGAACATCTGGTCGGGCCGCCAGATCTCCTGCTCGAGCGGCTGAGCGCCAACGGGCGTGGGCGAGAGCGCCAGCGTCAGAAGCACCAGCACGAAGCAGATGGCGCAGCCCAGGGAGATCTTCGAGAAGATCACCACCTCTCCAGCAGAGTCAGGCAGGCTCCCAACGCAAGCGAGGAGGGGCGAAGAGGAGGATGAGGGGGGGAAAGCAGGAGCAATACCCCTGGCGTGAATTAGACCGACCCCATGGAGCCTTCTCATTATTCCGCTCCTCCTCCTCCTCCTCCTCCTCCTCCTCCTCCTCCTCCTCCTCCTCCTCCTCCTCCTCCTCCTCCTCTCTCCCTCCTCCTCCTCCTCCTCTTTTTCCATCGGCCTCATTTTCGCATCGGCGCGTTGCTCCCGTCGTTCAGAATGGCGCCCTCGCTCCAACGAGGGACATTTGTCTGGACCCGAATCCGTTTTCATCGTTGTCGCTCCAGGTCCGCTATGACACGGGTCGGCGAATAGAACAAAACACAACGCAAAGGGAATGGATGGGTGGGAGGAGTAGGATGTTAGACATGGTGCGAGCGCATTGCCCTATTCCTTCTCTTCGTCCTCTTCCTCCTCCTCCTATTCCTCCTCCTCCACACCCTCCGCATTAGTCCGTGTCATCCTGCTCCTACTCCTCCTCCTCCTCCTCCCCCTCCTCCTCCTCCTCCTCCTCCTCCTCCTCCTCCTCCACATCATCATCATCATCATCATCATCATCATCATCATCATCATCAGCAGCAGCAGCAGCAGCAGCAGCCGCATCATCATCATAATCATCATCATCAGCATCATCATCATCATCACCACCATCATCATCATCATCATCATCATCATCAGCATCATCAACATCGTCATCATCACCACCATCATCATCAGCATCATCATCACCACCAGCATCACCAACATCATCATCACCACCACCATCATCATCAGCAGCAGCATCATCATCATCATCAGCAGCAGCATCATCACCACCATCATCACCACCATCATCATCATCATCATCATCATCATCATCATCATCATCATCAGCATCAGCATCATCATCATCAGCAGCATCATCATCAGCATCATCATCATCAGCATCAACCTCAGCAGCATAATCATCATCAGCAACAGCAGCAGAAGCGTCAACATTATCATAATTGTCATACGCATCAGCATCGTCACCAGTATCAGCATCATCAGCAGCATCATCATCACCATCACCTGCATCGTCATCATCAGCAACATCATCATCAGCAGCAGCATCAGCATCATCATCAGCAACAGCCGCATTATCATCATCAACAGCATCAGCATCATCATAATCATCATCAGCACCATCATCTTCGTCATCATAATCAGCATCATAATCATCATCAACGTCATCATCAGCATAATCAGTATCATCAGCATCGTCAGCTTCAACATCATCAGCATTACCAACAGCAGTACCAGCAGCATCAACAGAAGCAGCAGCATCAGCATCATCAGCATCATCATCATCAGCATCGACATGTCCATCATCATCGACATCATCATCACCATCATCACCATCATCATCACGATCGTCAGCATCATAATCGTCGTCAGGAGCATCATCGTCATCAGTGCCAGCATCGGCATCAACAACATCAGCAGCATCGACATCATCATCATCATCGTCATCATCATCATCATCATCATCATCATCATCATCGTCATGATCAGCATCAGCATCCTCATCATCAGCAGCAGCATCATCATCAGCACCATCAGCATCAGCATCGTCGTCGTTATCATTCTCATAAGTATCATCACCGTCCTCCTCCCCCTCCTTCTCCTCATCATCATCAGCAGCAGCAGTAGCGTCACAATCATCAGAATCCTCATCATCATCATCGCCGTCATCAGCATCTCCATCACCAGCATCATCAACAGCAGCAGCAGCAACAGCAACAGCAGCAGCATAATCAGCATCATCAGCATCAGCATCGTCAGCATCGAAAGTAGCATCAGCATCATCAGCAGCATCATCACCATCAGCATTAGCATCGTCGTCATCAGCATCATCGTCATCATCATCAACATCATCAGCATCATCAGCATGGTCATCATCAGCAGCAGCAGCAGCAGCATCAGCATCATCATCATCAGCAGCATCATCATCAGCAGTATCATCAGCAGCATCATCAGTGTCGTCGTCGTCGCCGTTATCACCCTCATCAGTATCATCACCGCCTTCCTCCTCCTCCTCCAGCTCCTCCTCCTCCTCCTGCTCCTCGTCCTCCTCCTCATCCTCGTCCTCGTCCTTCTCGTCCTCGCCCTCACCCTCCCCTCTCCTCCGTCATCCTCCCTTGCTCCCTCCCTCCCTCTCCCCTCCCCGCGCTCCCCCATCCCGCGGCTGGGCTGCACCGCAGACCTTCTTCAGGCCCGGCTGAAACATGCCCGGGGCGCACAGCGCCACGGCCAGCAGGCCCGACAGGGGGCGCGGCGTGCCCGGCACCAGCTCCCCGACCAGGTCCGCGAGGCCCACGGCGTAGGCGCACAGGGCCCCGCTGCTGGTCCTCGCTGTCCTCCTCCTCCTCGTCCTCCTCCTCGTCCTCCTCCTCCTCCTCCTCCTCCTCCGCCTCCTCCTCCTCCTCCTCGTCCTCCGCCAGGTCCTCCTCCTCCGACTGCTCCTCTTCCTCCTCCTCCTCCTCCTCCTCCTCCTCCTCCTCCTCCTCCGCCTCCTCCTCCTCCTCGTCCTCCGCCTGGTCCTCCTCCTCCGACTGCTCCTCTTCCTCCTCCTCCGACTCCTCCTACTCATCATCAGCATCAGCATCAGCATCAGCATCAGCATCAGCATCAGCATCATCATCATCATCATCATCATCATCATCATCATCATCATCAGCATCATCATCATCATCAGCATCATCATCATCAGCATCATCATCGTCATCATCATCAGCATCATCATTAGCATCACAACCAGCAACAGCATCAGCATGATCATCATCGTGCGCACATCATACTCTGTCACGTCTCGCTGAGGAACGCTGCAAGTGAGCATCTGGGCGTGAGAGCGAGTCAGCGTAGACGACGGGCGCGACGACGACGACGGCGACGGCGGCGACTTCAGTGACTTCCTCATCCTCCTCCTCCTCCTCCTCCTCCTCCTCCACCTCCCCATCCTCTGGGTATCTTTCAGGAGAGACGAGGTGGGCACAAATGGAAGAGCGAGGAAGCACTGGACCACAACAAGAGAAAAGATTGTGAGTGAATCTGGGCGTGAGTGATCTGAGTGTGAGTGAGTCTGAGTGTGAGTGAACCTGGGTTTGTCTGAGTGTGAGTGTGAATGAATATAAGTATGACAGGGTCTCAGTGCGAGTGGGTCTGCGTATGCGTAAGTCTGAATAGAAGTGCATTTGAGTGAGAGTCAGCCTGGGTGTGAGTAAGTCTGAGCGCGAGTGGGTCTGAGTACGAGTTGATGGGTATGAGTCTGAGTCGGAGTGGGTCTGAGTACAGTGAGTCTGACTACAAATTGACATGAGGTGAGTGATTCCGAGTTTGAGTGCGCCTAAGTTAAGTAAGTCTGAGTGTGAATGGGACTGGGTATGAATATGATAAGTATGAGTCTGAGTTTGAGTGAGTCTGAATACGAGTAAGTTTGAGCATATGTGAGCCTGAAGGTTAGTGAATCTAAGTGCGAACAAGTGCGAGCGTGAGTTAGTCTGAGTGTGGATGAGCCTGCGTGAGCGAGTCTGAATGTGAGTCTAAATATGAGCGAGTCCGGGTATGAGTGAGTCTGAGTATGACCGAGTGTCAGCTATAAGTGGGTCTGAGGGAGAAAGAGGTGCTGATGAGTATATATGAATGTGAATCCGTCTGGGTGAATAGGAGGTGGCGGGAGAGGTGAGTGAGTGAGTGAGTGTGGTCCGGAGGCGTATGGGTGATACAACTCCAAAGACAAGCCTGGGGAGCCGAAACAGGCAAACCGCCTGAGACATCCCCACTGGGGGCGCGAACGGGCCCGTGAAATACTCCCTGGCAGCTCCCTCATTGGGACGCTGAAACCCGCGCCTCACCTGAGACATCCTCACGATCTGCTCTGAAAGCAAAAGATGCTGGGCATGCAAACAAGAAAACCGCCTGAGATATCCCCACAATCTGGGCGGGTTTCCGCCTCCTCAACCAGCTCCTCCTCCTCCTCCTCCTGCTCCTCCTCCTCCTACTCCTCCTTCTGCTCCTCCTCCTCCTCCTCCTCCTCCTCCTCCTGCCCTTCCTCCTCCTTCGCCTCCTCCTCCTCTTCCTCCTCCCCCTCTTCCTCGACCTCCGTCGCCACAGTCCTCCTCCCCATCTTCCCCATCCGTTATCCTGGTCCGCATTGCCCTCATCCCCCTGCTGCTCCTCCTTCCCCTTATCCTTGTCCTACTCCTCTTCCTCCCCTTCCGCCAACTCCTCCTCCTCCTTCTCTTCCTCCTCCTCCTCCTCCAGATCCTCCTCCTCATCATCCTCCGTCCCTGCCTCCGGCTCATCCTCCTCCTCCTCCTCCTGCTCCTGCTCATCCTCCTCTCCTCTTCCCTCCTCCTCCTCTCTAAGCCTCCCTTTCCTCCCTCCTCTCTCCTCCTCCTCCTCCTCTCTCCTCCTCCTCCCCCTCCTCTCCCTCCTCCTCCTCCTCCTCCTGCCTCCTCTCCTCCCTCCTCCTGCTCCTCCTCCTCCTCCAACTCCTGCTCCTGCTCATGCTCCTGTTCGTTCTCCGGCTCCTTCTCCTGCGCCTCCTTCTCCTCCACCTCCCCCTCCACCTCCTCCTCCTCCTCCTCCGCCTCCTCCTCATCATAATCATCATCAGCAGCATCCTCCCCCCCCATCCTCCTCCTCCTCCTCCTCCTCCTCCTCCTCCTCCTCCTCCTCCTCCTCCTCATCCTCCTCGTCCTCCTCCTCCTCCTCTTCCTCCTCCCCCTCGTCGTCTTATTAATCGTCTTACTCTTCTGAGAGTCGTAATAGCCTTAGTCTTCGTATTCGCATTAGTAATGTTATTCGTATGGTCCGTAGTGGTGGTATTAGTATTATTATTGAAAGTACTCGTCGTGCGATTCGTAGTATTTATGATCTTAGTCTTAGTGTTTATTATTATTGTTGGTGGTACTCTTCTTTTCTTAATATTATGAATGTTGTTTTTTATCACTAGTAGTATTTCCTCCGCAATCATGTTCGTATGATTCGCCTGGTTAGTATTACTATTCCTCCTCCTCGTCATCCTCCTCCTCCCCCTTCTCCTCGTCCTCCTCATCCTCCTCCTCCTCGTCCTCCCCCTCTTCCTGAACTTCCGTCGCCCCGTTCCTCCTCCCCCATCTGCCTTATCCATTATCCTGGTCATCATTGACTTCATCCTCCTGCTCTTCCTCCGCCTCCTCCTCCTGCACATCCCCCTCCTCCTCCTCATCCTCGCCCTCCTCCTCCTCGTCCTCCATTCCTTTGTCCTTATAAACAACTGCTCCCTGTCGCACCCCGAGGCACGTTCTTTTTTTTAGCGGGCAGGGCGTTTCGCCTGAGACTTCCTCACCATGCATGACTCTGAGGCTTTACAAATTGGCAGCAGCTTCACAGATGGAAGGAGTCGTTTTCAAAATGTGACTCTCGCCTTAGCGCGGCGCACATTCGTTTAACAAAATGGCAAGAGTTTCACGGATTGAGGGCGAGTCGTTTTGAAAATGTGGCTCTCGCCTGAGCGCGGCGCACATTCGTTTAAAAAATGCAAGGGTTTCAAAGATTGAGGGAGGGTCGTTTTCAAAATGTGGCTCTCGCCTTAGCGCGGCGCAATTTCGTTGTAAAAACAAGAGTTTCACGGATTGAGGGCGGTTCCTTTTCAAAATGTGGCTCTCGCCTTAGCGCCGCGCATATTCGTTTACAACAGATTCAAAAATTTCACGGGTTCCCATCATCAACGTACCAGAAATGGCGTTTTAGAATGATTCCGGATTATGCGGGTGCAACAGTTACGTTGAGTCTCTGCGTTGAAGTCCTAGGCATGGCCTTCTGGCACGACTCAGGATCGTCAAGACGCAACAGTCAGGTCGATTCGTGGCGTTGGAATCCCGAGAACAATGTGTTGGCAGACTTCAGGGTCTTCAAGCGGGTGTCTTCAAACCAGGAAATTCCATGAATGGAAATGAACCGTTGTAGGGGCCTATGAAGAGGGAGCTTGGAGTGAGGAATTACATACTGCAACAACATTGATGACTCTTGGGTTTCCAATGGTCCTCCTCCTCCTCCTCCCCCTCCTCCTCCCCCTCCTCCTCCCCTCCCTCCTCCTCCTCCTCCTCCCTCCTCCTCCCCATCCTCATCGCCCTCCTCCTCCTCCTCCTCCTCCTCCTCCCCCTCCTCCTCCTCCTCCTCCTCCTCCTCCTCCTCCTCCTCCTCATCATCATCATCATCATCATCATCATCATCATCATCATCAGCATCATCATCAGCATCATCATCCTCATCCTCTTCCCCATCCTCATCGCCCTCCTCCCCCTCCTCCGCCTCCTCCTCCTCATCCTCCGTCGCTCCTCCCCCCTCCTTCCCCATCTTCCCCATCCATCCTCCTGGTCCTCATCGTCGCCCTCATCCTCTTGCTCATCCTCCACATCCTCCTCATCCTCCTCATCCCCCGTCCCCCTCCTGACGCCCCCATCCTGATCCTCTTCGTCCTCCTCCCGGGAGGTCATGAGGTACACCACAAGCACGACCACCTCGCCGGACCAGCCGAAGGCACAGCGCCCGATGAGCGGGTAGGTGCCGCCGCCCTCCATGTCGACGTGGTCCAGGAGCAGACGCGTTGGGCCCAGAAGTCGATACGCAGAGCAAGCGCAGGGAGGAGAGAGGATGGAGGAGGGCGGAGGGAGGAGGGCGTTGTGGGAGGGGGGAGGGAGGAGGAGGGAGGAGGGTGGGAGGGAGGGAGGGAAGGAGGGAGAGGAGGGAGGGAGGAGCAGAAAGAGGAGGAGGAGGAGGAGGAGGAGGAAGAGGAGGAGGAGGAGGAGGAGGGAGGAGGAGGAGGAGGAGGGAGGAGGAGACGAGGAGCAGGAGGAGGAGGAGGAGGAAGAGGATGAGGAGGAGGAAGGGGGAGGAGGAGGAAGAGGGAGGGAGGAGGGGAGGAGGAGGAGGAGGAGGAGGAGGGAGGAGGAGGGAGGGGAGGAGGGCGGGGGGGGAGGGGGAAGGGAGGAGGGATGAGAGAGGAAGGGAGGAGGTTGGAGGGAGAGGAGGGAGGAAGGAGGAGGGAGGCGGAGGGAGGGAGGAGGAGGGGGAGGAGAGGAGGAGGAGGAGAGAGGAGAGGAGGAGAGGAGGAGGAGGAGGAGGGAGGCGGAGGAGGAGGAGGAGGAGAGGAGGATGAGGAGGGAGGAGGATGAGGAGGAGGAGAGAGGAGGAGGAGGAGGAGGAGGAGGAGGATGGGTGGAGGAGGAGGAGGAGGAGGAGGGGGAGGGGGGAGGGATGGGGGGGGGGGAGGGGGAGGGAGGAGGGAGGGAGGGAGGGAGGGAGGAG